CTCACACACACACACATACACACACACACACGCACACACACATACACACACACACACACACACACACACACACACACAAACTCTCTAATCAATAGAGCCTACAAAAATCTTACCAAAAGCAGCAACAGGACTCTTAGACGACCCTAGCGTGGGACTGTCGTGTTGCAGCCGACCCTCGTAGCGGTACAAACCTCCCCTTGTGGCGTTGATGTCTCGCATGCGATGCGAATATTCCAACATGGAGCTGTCCAGGTCTCGCTTCCGCGCACCATAACGGGACAGAGGAGAGTCAAAGTCTCCTTTAGGACCCGCCATGGTGGTAAAGCAGCCCGGGAGATCAGAGGGTGTAGTCAAAACAGGTCACTCATCCTGAAGAGAAGTAAAAAAGTAAAATTGTTCACACATTTATTTTTAAAATTTTAATAATAAATAAATTCATAAGGGACACTGTAGGAGCAACACCAGTCCTACCACACATTGAAAAACAAAAGGTCAAGTGGTTCGGACACATCACGCGGATGCCCTCAAACCGTCCAGCTCCGAGAGCATACAGCATTAAATATTCTGGATCGAGAGCCAGAGGAAGACCAGACAGACGCCTGTGTCTCCACGCGACACCCACCGGTACAAGTGGAGGAAAAAAGTAAAAGTGTAAGTAAAGTTCACTCATTCGATCCGGACATTGGGGATTGCCTTATTAGTGAGACAACTTCCTGGGCCTTCGGCATATCAATGTGGTAGGGTGGCCAGTTCCTTTCCACGCACCCTTTCGATCTCCAACTCGAAGTCAGGTACCCATTACAACTGGGTGGGCAGGAGGGGATGAAAGGGAATCCGTGTCCGAACCGAGGCTCAAACCCTGACTTTCCGCTTCGGTGAAGAACGTACTAACCGCTCCACCACCGCACCCCCCAAAAGAGAGGTATACGACACGTTTTTAGAAGCGTAAAAAAAAAATGAATGAGTAAGGGGTACGTCGGGAAAACAAGACCAAACACTGAAACGAAGAGTGTTCGTTGTCGATTATGGATACAACACGTTTAACTAACAACAACAACAACAATAATGATGATGATAATAATAATAATAATAATAATAATAATAATAATAATAATAATAATAATAATAATAATAATAATAATAATAATAATAATAATAATAATAATAATAATAAAAAATAAATAATAATAATAATAATAATAATAATAATAATAATAATAGTAATAATAATAATAATAGTAATAATAATAATTATAATAAAAATAGCATTTATAGAGCGCATGTCCCCACTCGAAAGCAAGTTCTATACGCTTTACGCTATATTATTACCCCAGCAGACCATGGAACACACAGAAACATTCTCAGCTTCCCGGGAATCATACAGTGCAAGCAGCTGGTTAAGCGCTCAAACACTAACAAACTGACAGGAATCTTTCACAGTCTATAGCTGGGTACCCATTTTCACACTTGAGCTTCCCATTTTTACAAATTACATGCATTTGTTTAAGAAATTTAAGAAAGATCCTATAACCTCACTTGCCTGACACCATGAGAAATGAACAACTATGTAAGCAAACAAGTCAATGTACAATGGATAAAGAAACCAGCAAAAGAAGAACCCGCCGATTGGACACATCTTGAGAAAACTGAACACGGACATGTCCCACCGAGCTTTAACTCAATGAAGACGCGCATTCTGGTCATTCGACAATGTGTTTAGTAAGTTTTTAAAGTTTTAGTAGAAGTTATACGGCACTCGCAACTGCATGAGGTCATATGAGCGCCAGAAGATTAGAGCTGTTACAAGAGAGTAACAAACATAAAAAAGAAGAAGGGGAGATAAGGACGATAGATGTTTGATAGGACAGAAGAAGCAAACCACACCAGAGCACCCGCCAACCACCCACCGACAATGTGTGAAGATGTGCTGTTTTGGGGCGTAACTTTATCATTAAAACATATTTTTGGGGCTGTTTTCTCTATTTGAAATGTTGAAAGGCATGTATCAATGTGCATGCCATGAAAGGTGAAAACATGTGTTTCTGATTTGTGTATAATTGTTCGAAGTGTACCGAAATATTGTCTTTGCTCTGCTGCTAATTGGACGTATGTGTCCGCTACGTCTTCAAAGAGTTGAGGAGAAATCCTCAATAAAAGAAAATGAGAGGAAGGATCTAAAGCACTTCGATTGGGACGTAAATGACTGAATACAGAAGGACGAAGGGGCAGACTATAGCCCAAGACAGGAGCTCTTATTGGAGTCTAAGCTCCGACACAGGGTGAGAAAGGATAATGATGATACCCTGTACAATAATAGCCTCATATGACTGAAAGAGACATTATGTTGTTTTCTTGCCCTGGTTACTTTTACAGTTGAATGCATCTTGGTCCTTCATAAAGGGGTGGAAGCCATTTAGCTAAGTAGGCACACCCTCACTA